TTTATCAATCTTTTTAATAATTTTGTATTCATATGACATTATTTTTTAAATTGCACACCTATACACAGTATTGTGGATCTAATGTGTCATTATTATGTAAAATTTAATTCTATTAAATTATAAATTGCCTTCAAATAATAAAATACACATATATTAAAAGTTAAGAAATTGCAAAATAGGCCCTAATGGTTATATAATTTTCATTTGAAAGCTCCACAATCAAACAAAACTCCAACACGCAATGCTCGTCTTCTCCACCCAAACTCACGACAACTAATTCATTAGAGTTCTCGTTGCCGCCACACGGGGATATGATAGATCCTTTCGTCGTCGGACACTGTGGCGAGATTGCAGTTCATCGGTGGACGCCTCGAGACTCCAGCTTCCATATCGACGACGTCCGGCGGATAGAAGCCTAATTTTCGCGACCCCGGACGGTGTCCATCCCAACGGCGTCCATCATAGACCTAGTTATGAAGCGCCTGCAATGGCAGAACTTCGGCGGAGCTGGCTCCGAAAATGACTATAACGACAGAGCTCGTGACGGCTGTGGGTTGCTGGCCAGTTAGCTGTCGGCGTATGGGTTGGGGGTCAACTGTGATGCGTGTGTGTGTTCCAATGAAAATTTCAGTGTGTGTAATTTTGTGGTACCGGTGTGACGACGGCGCCGGGCTGTGATGCGGTGGTGATCACGGTGGTCAGCGGATGTCCGATGGTCGATGAATAACCGGTGGCCGGAATGTGTGATGTGTGTGTAAATGTGCGTGTGTGTCTGTGAGAGACGAAGGGAGGAAGAAGAGAGAAAGTGAGAGATGGTGTTGTGGGCCCCAGTGAAATAAATAGTGGTTAGTGGGTGGAGGCAAATTACACCATTACCCTCTAAGTTTAGAGCATCCACAATGCTTTGGGTTCAATCACAATAAATGGTATGCCATCTAAGAAATAGACCTAGTCTAACAAAATGTATTCTCCAATGCAAACAAAAGTAGACTGGGTCCTGCTGATGTGGCAGCGAAAAAAAGAGACACGGTCTACTCTTAAGTCTATTTTAAACCCAAGTAGGGACTTAGTCTCGTTGCATTGGAGTGGATTTTACCAATTTTACACAATTTCATCCACGTCATCCAAGACTTAGGTTTATTTACATGACACATAGGCAAGACTAGACTTAATGCATTGTAGATGCTCTTATCAACATACCAATATTTACCACATTCGTATGATGTATCCAATGGACTAAATTCATTCTCATTTTTTTCACTAACATCGTTTCTCATATAATCCCTTCTCTATACATACATACATATTACAAAAAAATTACAGGGCCCCGTGCCCATACGGGCCCCTGTATAAATCCGCCAATGGTCGTGAAAAACAAGCAAGAGCTCCATCCGCCATTATTTGCGGCGGCATCGATGTGAAAATCTTTGTTCGTCGTGTTCAGCATCCTATTCGACGTCCACGCAGCAGAGCCGACGTGCCGTCAAGAACCAGCAGCCCGCAGTTCCTGTTCGTTGAGGATACCATTCGAATTTTCGAGGTCTGTTCGTCCGACCGTCTTTCTGATATTCCCGAAGACGGGTAATCTCCTCGAAACCTCCTTGGTAATTGTTGTTCAAGATGTTATTATTTTGTTTATTCTCGTTCGCGTTGAATCGTTCGTTGGGTTTCGAATTTGGTGTATTTGTCGATTCGTATGTTCGTTATTTATTTCGTATGTTCGTGGATTATACGGGGATGATTGGAACTATTGATTACGTAAAAGTGAATATCGTTATGTTGTTGTGATTATTTCGGTTTAATTCGGAGTCTAGATAGTATTGTTTCGAGTTGTCGTTATATCGTTGGTTTGTTTTTTTTTTTAAATCGTATATTGTCGGTTCGAATTTCGATTCGAAAACCCATTGTCAAGATATATTTCGAACTTCAAAAACTATTTTTATTTTTAAAACATTCCGAAAACACTTGTCACGTCGAAGTTTTGGATCGAAATCCGCTGCCAGAAATTGATTTTCAGTACAGGTTTGTACTCAGTTTTCCTGCAGCTGTCTTTGTTTTTGTACCAGGTTCTAAATATAAGTTATATAGATTAAGTTTTCCATTAAGGGTCAGTTTGGTTGGGCATATTGGGCGATATCAAGCATTTTGTTACTTTTTCAATACGATTAAGCTGTTTGGTTAGGCATTGGAAAGCCCTTTATATTGCTTGGGCCCGGAAACATTATAAACAAATTGTTGGACTACACATCCCACCCCTAATGCGTGATTCTTTATCCCAATATTAAGTGCCTCTTTCTTTTTTACCGAAATGCCATCTATATAAATACTAAAATCGGATCTCTTGACTTCATTATTTCTCTCTCGCAGAAAACCTAGGGTTTCCACGGTCCTTCTTGCATCGCTTCCGACAATAGAAGAATCTCAAAAGGTACGGGATATTCTTCCTTCAATCATCAACAGAGTTCGTTTTTTTCCTCGGATCTAATCTTTTTTGTTGTAATTTGTTTTCTCGTCGTCGTATTTTCGCTACTATTTTGTGTTGTTGCGGACTGGATGTTCGTCGCTAATAAAGTCGATTTCGGTCTTGCTTAAGGTAACAGCCTGACCTTCTGCACCTACATTTGCGTTGTTCGGTTCATTTTTGTATTGTTGGCTCCGATCTAAATTTCTTCAGTGGGCCAGAACAGTGAAATCAATTGCTTGTTGGGTTTGTTTCATTGTGTGAGATAGCATATTTACCTTTGTCATTGTTATAGAAGAATGGCAAATGTGCATTGTTGTTTTTTCTTCATTAATTGCAATTGCAAATATGCTATCTGATTGTTATGCAGATTGATGTTTTTTTTAGGTGTTGAATACTTATATCTGGTTTTATATTATTTATGCATTTACTTGTGTGTGTATGTGTTTGTCATTGTGTGAATGATATCCTATCAACAAAATTTATTTGGTTTTGCATTCATTTGGCCTTTTGAAGTGGTTTTTTATGTTCATGGTTGACTAGAACTGATTTGGTTTGTTTATAGAGTTTCTGTTGAAAATAACATTTTTTTACTTTCACATGAACTTTTTGGAAAGACTTTAAACCTTTTCACCCAAATGTAGTCATGGGAGTATAGGACCTATGTTCTGTCAACTCTATTTACTTCAAAGCATTTACTCTTTTCGATTACGAGCTAAGTGAAGTCATAGACATTTGAGGTTATTGAGAAGGAGAGACTTGTTAACAACATATGAAAGAAAAAAGCTAATCATGAATTCTGCCTTCTGCAAATGTTTCGGTCGTGTTCATCTTTCAATGGAGCTTTGAAATTCATTCAGTGTCTCATATTTAGCAGAGAACACTCTGCATGAACAATGGTGTTTGTTCTATTGCTTTGAATAGCCTATTTCTATTTTTTATACAAAAATGAGGAAGGTGCATTGCTAATTTGAAAGTAGTAGATAACATGTTTTCTGACAATTTTTTGTTTCAATGCTTCGTTTCCTTTCTTATTTGTAGATTTCAATTTCATATTACATAATTCTATATTTATTTGCATTTGCTCCATGTGATGGGAGAAATGAGCTAATATTTGAATCTATTTTGAAAGTAGAAGGCTTTGATTTAAAATTATATTTTTGTGTGAAGTATGTTCTGAACTATATAGACAAGAATGATGCATGACACATATATTTTGCTGTACAGATTTTACAATAGCTATTACATAAAGCTCATCAAAGGTATAACATTTAATGGCTGAGATTAACAGGAGAAAGGCTGAACTTTATCTTGTTTTGGAGGAAATCATTAATGAATGTACTTTTTTCATTAATATGGTGGTAGCATTAAGATGGGAACAAAGTTGTAAACCATCTACAGAATATACAAAACAAATTAAATATGTGATGGCGAATAGGATTCCTAGACAAGTAGAACATTTGAACAATTTGGTGGCCTTGAATGAGTTAGACTGTATGGAAAATTTGAGGATGAATAAGGGAGACTTTGCTAGGTTATGTTACCTTCTCCGTACAAATAGTGGTCTATCTGATTTCAAATATGTACCAGTTACGGAGAAGGTTGCTCTCTTTCTTTCTATAATCGCTCATCATAAAAAGATGAAGGTTGTTAAATTTGACTTTAAGAGGTCTAGTCAAACTGTAAGCATTTACGTACATGAGGTCCTTTCAGTGATTTTGCGTCTTCATTCTACCCTCCTAGTGAAACCTGAGCCGATTGATGATTCAAACAACAATAACAATAGATGGAAATGGTTCAAGGTATTTTCCCATGTTAAAGCTTATTAGATATCAAATCATGGTAAAAGATATTTTAATGGTTGTTAACAATAAGAAAAGTGAATGCCAATTTGAAAATAGGGTTGTCTAGGCGCCTTATACGGAACTCACATAAGAGTGACAGTACCAGAAGTTGATAAACCAAGGTACCGCACCAGAAAGGGAGATGTTGCTATGAACGTGCTAGGAGTTGTTGATCGTAACCTAAATTTTGTCTATGTATTGTGTGGATGGGAAGGTTCTGCAGCCGATTGTCGCGTTCTTTAGGATGCAATAAATAAACCTAATGGCATGAAAGTCCCTAGAGGTAATGAAGGAAAAGGGTTGTCCATATAAATTAATTGTTAAACATTTCATAGGTTTCTATAGTTAAAAAGTAAACAACAAATTAAATCTTGTCTTTTGTAGGTAACTATTACCTATGTGATAATGGCTACACAAATGGTGACGGTTTTTTGTGTCCATACAAGAGAGTGAGATATCATTTGAAAGATTGGGGGGAAAGAAGGCTTACACCTCAGAGCCCTTACGAATTTTTCAACATGTCCCATTCGAAAGCTAGAAACGTGGTCGAGAGATCATTTGGTATTTTGTAAAAAAGATGGGCGATCTTACGTAGTCCAACGTTTTATGATATAAGAACTCAAAATAGACTAATTATGGCTTGTGTGCTACTACATAACTTCATTCGACGTGAGCTTCCGGTGGATCCCATAGAGATGTTGATCGGAGAAGATGAACAAAACGAAGACAGTGCTGATGACTTGTCATTTATTGACTGTGTCGAGACCTCTGATCAATGGTCTGAATGGAGAGACACATTGGCTATGTCAATGTTTAACGAGTGGAGGTGTATTAATTGAGTGGATATGTAATCTTTTTTATTGAATTCAAATTGTAAGAAAGATGAACTCATTTCGGTTTGATATGTAATGAAAACCCAACTGTTTGTGTTGTTTGACTTTATATTTTCGTCTTCTAAATTTTGTAACTTGTTTGATCATTACAGTTATTTCTATGTATCTATAATGAATGCACTATCTTGTTGATTTGATATTGTATCTATTATTTTGTTGTAATTTTTGTAATTATACAGTGATGATGAACTCTCCTTCCCAATGATTCCAAAACTAAGAAAACCACGAGCTGACAAAGGTCGAAGGAGTTGGAGCCAGCAAGAGGAGGAAGTTCTTATTGCTGCCCTCAAAGGAATCATCACTACTGGTTGGAAATCTGAAAATGGGTTCAAGATGGGGTTTCTTAACATTCTTGAGCAGGAATTGGTGAAACAGTTATCGGGTACCGATTTGCAAGGTATGCCCCATATCAACTCGAAAATACATGTGTGGAAGAAAGAATATGGTAGTTTGTGTACTGTGCTATCATGAAGTGGTGTTGGATGGAACGAATCAACCATGATGGTTGAATGTACTGACGAGACGTGGTCGGAGTGTTTGAAGGTATGTTATTCAGATTCCAATATTGTTTTGTCTTTGTTCTAGAAAAAGGTACAATTGTGATACTTAATTTGCGATTTGTTCATCATCAGGTTGATGCTAATGCTCATTCCATGCGTCACAAATCTTGGCTATACTACTATAATTAGATCGAGATTTTCGGGAAGGACAGAGCGACGGGCCACCAAGCTAAAGACCTATTTAATGCAGCTAGCAATGTAAATCTATCAAGCCCTTCACGTACTTTGTCTGAACATATGGAAATGAACGATGTGAACATGGAAGAAGAGGTCAACGAGACAATGTCGGAGAGCACCCAACCATCTTCAACGAGGACGAAAAAAAGCGTAGGGCGTAAACGAAAGTCAGGTCAGAGTTTTGATCCTCTTTGTGAAGTTATGAAAAATTTTGCTGAAAAAACGGGTGCTCGTTTGGAAAAGATTGCGCAAAGAATAGGCAACGAATATGATGTTTCAAGTGCTCGTAAGGATGTTTATTCCATTGTGAGGGAAATTGAAGGTTTGAACCTACAAGAGCAGTTGCTGATCTCCAAAATTTTAGTAAAGAATATCGACGAGCTAGATTTGTTCTTCAGCCTCGACAATGCTGCTCGAGTTGAAATTGTGCGAATTAAGTTGGCCGGAGGTATATAGCGAGCCATGGTTGTTCTATTTCAATATTATCAAGTTCGTATTTAGTTTGTTTAGGGTTAAACTTTATTGTACTATATAAAACATGAGTTGGTGAACGTTGCTAATTTATGAATGAATTGTTGTCCCTGCACTTGGTTTTGTTTTGTTAGAGCTGGGACTCAGTAAAATGTTTTGTCTTTTGGAATGAAACATGTATGAACGATGTGAACGATGTGTTGTGGGAATGTTATGTTAAGATTTCAAGTATTCTGTTTGTTAGTGTTTCCAGATTTTAAGGTTCAACTAATGGGTTTTATTTTAGTGTTTCCATGTTAAGCATCATACATAGCAACCATGTTAGGTCATTACCACTAAAGTTACGTCATAAACAACTCCAGCAACTCAGCAAGAGCTACAAAGATAATCGAATTAAAACTACAATTAAAGAAGTAAAAATTGCAGCAAATCTCTTCCTGACTAACTACTTATTTTATGGCTATCAAATAAAGACAAACAAAATAAAAGCATTGGTTAAGACGACGATAATTTTTTATTCAAAAGAGACGAACATAGTCATACATGATAAATAAAATAAAAAACCCAGAATTGTTAAACTTATATCAACTCCTACCATCCTTCGAATTCCAACAAGGCGTGAACCGTCGGCCATGGCAGCTTATTTTTCATAAATGACAAATAAAATAAAAAACCGGGAATTGTTAAACCTACATCAACTCCTACCATCCTTCAAATTTCGACAAGGCGTGAACCGTTGGCCATGGTAGCTTATTGGAGGAAACGATAAATAAAAGCAAAAGGCTCCATGAGATAAGCCTACATAAACACACCCACCTACTTAATACATCGCTGTTTTTTTAAAAAAAAAAAAATGGGTCGTCTCCTATTTTTTTGTAAGGAGACGATGAAGATGCAGCAGAACTGTTTGGAATATCATAAATGTTTCCATTGTGCTTGTCCCAATCGTGTGACGCCCAGTGGTTGTCTAACTTGCTCATAACAACAGAAGTGGAAGCTAGGGTGGTCGGTGGTTTTTTCGGGTCGGCAACAGACAAAACACTTGTGGAGTCGGCATTGTACCACGCATGTTCGTAGTGAAAACAATTATTTGTATTGTCAGATTCGTTTTCAATAGCCAAATAGGGATTACCGTCTTCTTCATTGTCTCCTCCGTCTTCACCGTCATTGCCTCCTTCATCTTCTTCGTCAGAAATATTAATCACTTGTCTAGCTTGCCCACGCGCGTTCATGTTACCATCTCCAAACAAATAGTCCAGCTCATGGAAAATGTACTCGCCCTTCTCCATGTATGCCATCGATAGCTTTTGTTTTTGCAATATTTAATGAAACACCATTGTAGATAAAATTAACTTGAATAAATGAAAAAATATATTTATAAATATTTGTGTTAATAAGAAGCAACAATAAATTTATAAAATTAAAAAAAATAATAATAAATATAAACACTTACTCAAATAAGATACTCCGAGGTTTTTTTGCTCGCGTCAACCGTATTGGTTTCAGGTGTGAACACAAACCTGCTTTTTTGTGTTATCCAGGTAAATACTTGATAGCGTTTATGGAGTTTGTGTATTTTTTCGCATCAATACTTCAAATCGAAGCTCTTACCAAATTGTTCGTTCACGACTCCTTGTGCAGTAAGTATAGCGTGATGGTTTAGACGGCCCACCTTGAAATTTCGCGCAGCCGCTTGTTGAACCAACTCTTGGACGAACATTCTTTCGATTTGCTTACTCCATTCCCCGGAAAAAATAAGCTTACTTTGTGAAACGACAACTTTAGAATTTTTCTTGGGAGCCATTGAGTTACAGAAAAATGGTATAGAACACTACTGTTTTGTATTTTAGAATACAATCTTGCTTTGTTGCTTCTTATTCAAATAACATGTATCTGCATGAATATATATATTAGTATTGAGTGCATCTCATACCATAGGTTCTCTGTTGAAAGTTCATAACTTTGTTGAATTTTTTCTTCACTTTTCTCTTTTGTTAGGAGAATATATTCCATGTACCACAAATTGAAGATCCATGCGCACTCATTACGTTGCTAATCTTACTTTTTCTTTCATATTCAATTTATATTTTGTATGTATGACATGAGTATGAATGAGTCTGATGGCAAGTTCAAGGGGAGTAGGAGGGAATAAGAATATATTCCATGTATGACATATGAATGACTGATGAATGGGGATATGAAAGGGAATAAGAATATATTCTCTGCATATTAAGACAAATAGAGACCTTGAATGAAGCACTTTCCTAGATAATTGGCCAAAATAGTTTTAATCATAGAAGCTTGACCTCTTTTTAGCCTTAGAAAAGATAATGTTTTATGACTTCATATCCCACATGCTCGGGCAGAGAGAGTATTGTTGCTTTTGTTCATGTACCAATGAGGCAAAGATAGATCTTCCTCAAACAACATCAAATTTTTTGCCTTCTCCTTCAAACACAAGATTAGTTTGCACGAAAAATGTCTCGAGATAGTGGTAGAAATAGATCGTCTGAAAGACCGTCTCACAGCATCAAGAGATACCAACCTCCGACAAGAAGGTGTTTGCATCACGAGGAGGCTCAAGTTTTAACATCCAACACAGAAAAAATCCATGTAGGTGTTACTATAGATGCAAATATCGAAATGTAAGTTTGGCTTCAATGTCATTGTAATTTAATTCTACCTCCCATGTCATTGGATCCTGAAATTCCTCACACCTTTCAAATATTCTTGTTGATAATCAATAACTTTTTTATCTATATGTTTGCATTTGTAGCTCATTTTGTTGGTGTTGATAGTATTGTTGTAAGAGTGTTTGTTAGTGAGTTTCAAAAACAAAGAAGCTGGTTTTTTTTTTTTTTTTTTTTTGAATTTTCTTGGAAGCTTTTTAAAACTAAAAACGGAGTTTCATATGCAATCCTCAACTCTAAACCTAATCCGGAGTTATGAATGGTGCTATAATATAGTTATGGTCGTTCAGTCCAAAAAAAAAATAATAATAACACAATGTCTTTCTTTTATTGTAGACAAATGATTGTGAGTTCTTTGAATGGTTGGACGACGAACTACCTCCTTTTCAGAAGGCATGCTACCTAAACCTCAGAACAACTAAGTTAATGTTGGAGGAAGAAGTTAAAAACAAGGACGCGTTGTTAAAAGTTTTAACTCACAAGTTGGATAAAAAGAGAAAAAAACTAAGAGATGTAAAAGCTCAAAATGTGGAGCTTCTGGAGCTATTAGATTCATTAAATCGAAAAAGAAGTCACGAGAGTAAGATTTGTGTTTTCGTTGTCCTTTTGGGCTTGATCATTGTTGTATGGTATTTTAACGACGGTATGTATTGACAATAGTTGCAGGCTATTTGTTTTTTCGAGTGACATGGACACTAGGTTCCTAATATGTCTTAATTTTCGTGTTGAAAGTTGAATTGTAATGTATTGAGTCTAAATAAATTCCATGTATAGGTTTTGGATTAACTTTGGATGAGTTATTGTTGTTTGAGAATTAGTAATGTGAAACAATTTTGTCGTTAGCCATTTTTGTATTATTACATGCCTGCAACACTATCATTTTGTCTTGTGATTTGAGTTGGTATATAGTTACAGCCCTTCCCTAAAGAAAATTTTTGTAACTCCAATCTTGTTTCTTTAATTGTACACGGACGATTGTTTTTTTAATTTTTGTTGGTTCATGCCTAATGTAACATGTTTTTTCAGTTCTATTGTCTTTCAAAATACATTCAAATTATTTATCACATAATAGTGCCCCCAAATTATGCTCAAACACAATACATAAGTATGGTTTTAGCAAAAACTTACATGAAGACGGGTGGACACGACGTCAGCTGTTGAGATAGTCCAGATTCATCACTGCCACCATCTTCAGAGTGGCACATGTCTATACAAACACAATTATTTATCACATAACAATGCTCCCATTTTCTTGCCCGGAACATGCTCCCATGCCTGTACAAACACAATTTCCAAGTACAAATAAAATGATCATCCATTCTCATATATAGCAAAATGAACAAACTGTTATCATTACAAAATAAGGTCATTGTAGCAACCCACATTATCACATATTAATTTAAAACCTGACAATCATATTACATTTCATCCCATGTCTGTACAAACACAATTTGCAAGTCAAAACAAAATTATCATCCATTCTCATAAATAGCAAAATGAACAAACTGTTATCATTACAAAATAAGGTCATTGTAGCAACCCACAGTCATCACATACTAATTCAAAACCTTACAATCCTAATACATTTCCACACAACAGTTGTGGTCAAAGAACAAGAATATTAGGTCAAACTATTGTCTAAAATAATCTACCAGGGAGGGACAAAATAGGAGCTGCATTCTTTGTCTTGAGCAATAAGTATGCCGTTTCAAAATGTTTCATCCCGTAGGTTCTGAAAAACCTCCATTCCATAGTTTCCTGAAAAATTTAAAAAAGTTTAATGAAAAATAAACCAAAAGTCCTGTTAACATTAGGATGAAAAATGAATAAAAGATGTTGAACCAATTTAGGATCAAACCAACCTTTCTGAATGATTGCCAGTACACTCCATCGACAGAGATTTTGTTAGACTTTCGATTGTGATATACGCCTGGGTTTTGTTTCCACTCCATAAAAGAATCGTACTGGCTTCGGAAATTGATGACTTTTTGTTTTACCATTGGGATGGAAAACTTTTTTCTAAACTTCTCTATCAGCAGCCCAGTGATAAGCCACAAATAAGTATCAAAGGTTGTAATGGAACTTACAGGGATATTAAGAGCAACATATTCAAGTTGTTCAACGAGGAAGTCCTCTTCGTTTTCAGTCCAACCGTCAGTACTGAAGAGCTTTTCAATGTCATCATTTCGAGTATGTGGTTTCATACTTGCAAATATAGGCATACAAAAGTGAAGTTGAATCATGAGTTTCCCATCACAACAATTCCATAGTATGAGTCTTACTAATCTAAAGCCT